TTTGAGGCCAGGCTGGGCAACACAGGGAGACCCCATCTCTACAAACAAAACAAAACAAAACAAAACAAAACAAAACAAAAAACTAGCCGGACATGGTGGCATGTGCCTATATTCCTAGCTACTCAGGAGGCTGAGGTAGGAGGATTGCTTGAGTCCAGGAGGTAGACTGCAGCAAGCCACGATCTTGCCACTGCACTCCAGCCTGGGTGATAGAGCAAGGCCTTGTCTCCAAAAACAAAAACAAAAACAAAAAAAACCGGCCTGGTGCAGTGCCTCACATCTGTAATCCCAGCACTTTGGGAGGCCAAGGCGGGCAGATCATGAGGTCAGGAGATCGAGACCATCCTGGCTAACACAGTGAAACCCTGTCTCTACTAAAAATACCAAAAATTAGCTGGGTGTGGTGACACGTGCTTTTAGTCACAGCTACTTGGGAGGCTGAGGCAGAAGAATTGCTTGAACCTGAGAGGTGGAGGTTGCAGTGAGCTGAGATCGTGCCATTGCACTCCAGCCTGGGTGACAGAACAAGACACTGTTTCCAAAAAAAAAAAAAAATTTAAAATTTAAAAACAAAATTAAAACTTCATAAAAAAAGAGATGAAGTAGGCCTGGCGCAGTGGCTCGCACCTATTATCCCAGCACTTTGGGAGGCCGAGGCAGGTGGATCACTTGAGGTTAACAGTTCGAGACCAGCCTAGCCAACATGGTGAAACCCCATCTCTACTAAAAATACAAAAATTAGCTGGGCATGGTGGCGGACATCTGTAGTCCCAGCTACTCAGGGAACTGAGGCAAGAGAATCACTTGAACCCAGGAGGTAGAGGTTGCAGTGAGCTGAGATCACATCACTGCACCCCAGCCTGGGAGACAGAGTGAGATTCTATCTCAAGAAAAAAAAAAGAGATGAGGTAAATATGGCAAAATGATAACAAGTGTTAACTCTAGAACATAGTATATTTTCCATACTTCTATATGTGTATAAAATTTATAATAAAATGTCAAACACATAGCTTCTTGGCATTTCTAATTTTAAAACAGCAAATGTAATTTATACATATTTACAAGTAAGCATGTGCATTTATATGTATGTTAGAAGCAAAACCGTAATGGCCCAGTATATGGGCCTCAAAAACAGTAATAATTGCTTTTCTAAAATGTTATTGCCATAATCAAGCTGGGGTGATTAAAACTGAAATGATAAAACACAAAATTGCGCAGTTCCTGTGTTCTTCAATAAACTGTTCTTGCACCTAAGTTATTTAGACAATTTAGAGGGACAGACGATCAACTGCATTACACCAGTTGCAAATATTTTACATTTTAGAAGTATTCAAATTTTAAAATATTTTGAAACTCCTATTTTGCTGTTTTAATAAAAGCATTATGACAAAAATGTCTAGATGGTTTGCCTAAAATCCCACTTAATATTTGATTTATTGTAATTACAAATTACAAAAATTAGAGATTATATAAAGTACTCTTAAGTAAAATAAATATCATTTAATAAATGTGCAATATGTTCAATAATACCATGTGTGAGAAACATGCCTAATTAGGTCAAATTGGATTATCAATAGAACTGTGAAATAGCACTGTGTTTTAAATAAATAAAATTAACAAATTGCATAAAAACATCCACAGAAATATTACTGAGTCAGGATTATATGAAATATAGGCCATATATGTTTAAATATTTAGAGTCACTTGATGCATTTTCCAATACTTATCACAATAGTCTGAAACATTTTAGAAATCACATATTTCTGTGGTATCAGAAGCTAGAACTCCATGACATAAAATGAAGGAGATACTTGTTGTATAGCATTCATTCACTTAGTGAAGATTTATTTTCTTCTCCCAACTGGCAAGTATGCAGAGCAACATTCAGTAAGTATTTCTTAAAATAAATTAGTATCTATTATAGCAGATTAATTTTTTTTTTTTTTTGAGATGGAGTCTCACTCTATTGCCTAGGCTGAAGAGAAATGGTGTGATCTGGGCTTACTGCAACTTTCACCTCCCGGGTTCAAGCAATTCTCCTGCTGCAGCCTCCTGAGTAGCTGGAATTATAGGTGTGCACCACCATGCCTGGCTAGTTTTTTGTATTTTTAGTAAAGACAGGGTTTCACCATGTTGGCCAGGCTGGTCTTGAACTCCTGACCTTGTGATCCACCCGCCTCAGCCTCTTCAAAGTGCTGGGATTACAGGCATGAGCCACTGCGGCCGGCCTTAAAAAAATTTTTTTAGAGACAAGGTCTTGCTCTTGTCTCCCAGGTTAGAGTGCAGGGGTATAATCACAGCTCACCGTAACCTCAAACTCCTGGGCTTAAGGGATCCTCCTGCCCTAGCCTCCCAAGTAGCTAGGATTACAGGTGTGCACTACACCCAGCTAATTATTTTTTAATGGAAACTGAGTCTAGCTATGTTGCGCAGGCTGGTCTCAAACTCCTGGTCTCAAGCTATCTATCCTCCAGTCTCGGCTTCCCAAAGTGTTGTGATTACAGGTGTGAGCTACTCAGCCTGGCTTTATAGCAGATTATTAAAACATATATGGTCAGTGTAAACCAGTGAACTATACAGTTTAGACAGGAGTATTGACTCTAAAATTAACTTTCAAGTCTCAATTATTCAGTTTGGTAGAATTGACAAATATTACCTTCACCATACACAACAATCTCAGTGTACAGATGTTAGAATCCATAAAGTGCCAGTATGACTCACTGATAGACAGGAGAATACAGATTAATAAAATAGAGCTACGACTTAATTTTGAGTTTCAGAGATAACGAATATTTCCATTAAATAAAATACAAATATACTGATAAAGTTCAATACTGAACTATGGGTTTTCAACTTATGTAATGGTAACTGTCCCCAAGTATATTTATGTGTTTACTTTTTGAAATTTAGAACAGACTTTTCCTATACTACTACAAATACAACTTGGCCCCAGGCTAGGTTAGAAAATATACATAAAACTTAATCTAACTGAATTAAAACATTAGTAGCACTAATAGCAGTAGTTGAACTCTGTTCTCTAGAAATCAAGGGCCAAGTAACTTAGACGGGAAGGAAAAAAAAAGAAAAAGCAAAAGCTTTCCTTCTGGACCTAAGAACAGCTCTCAGGAAAAGTTTGAAATGGCTGCCCTTTGCCTTGGAATCTTTGTAATTCCCTTTCTGGGTTCCTCTTATGTCTGGGTGGAGTTCATTTTCTCCCTCATCTCCCAATTCTTTGTGATATTTTTTTTGAGATGGAGTCTCATTCTGTCACCCAGGCTGGAGTGCAGTGGCACGATCTCGGCTCACTGCAGCCTCTGCCTCACGGGTTCAAGCGATCCTCCTGCCTCGGCCTCCTGAGTAGCTGGGATTAGTAGAGATGGGGTTGCACCGTGTTGGCCAGGCTGGTCTCGAACTCCTGACCTCAAGTTATCCACCTGCCTTGGCCTCCCAAAGTGCTGGGATTACAGGCATGAGCCACTGCACCCGGCCTCTTTGTGATATTCTGAGTCTTCTCCACACGGGGCTGACTCTAGACTCACCGACATAGGAACTTGTCCAGATTCCCCATAAATACTGACTCCCTGTCTCACACTCCAGTCCACAGCCATTTTACCAAAACAATTGCTGTCAGAGAAAGGCCAGGAAGGAATCAATCTGATTTAATTAAACAAAATGTGCTTGCAACCCTTATTTCAAAATAATACTAAGCATCGGCCAGGTGTGGTGGCTCACACCTGTAATCCCAGCACTGTAGGAGGCTGAGGTGGGCAGATCACTTGAAACCAGGAATTCGAGACCTGCCTGGCCAACATGGCAAAACTCCGTCTTTACCCAAAAATACAAAAAAAATAGCTGGGTGCCGGTGGCTCACACCTGTAATTCCAGCTACTTGGGAGGCTGAGGTACGAGAATCACTTGAATCTGGGAGGTAGAGATTGCAGTGAGCCGAGATCACCCCACTACACTCCAGCCTGGGCCACGGGGTAAGACCCTGTCTCAAAAAACAAAACAACAACAACAAAACCCAAAAAACTAAGCATCGCAAATACTTAAACAGGGCAAGTTTTAAGATTCTCACAATTTGGAATGAGAAGCTATCACAAGAATGGGAAACCCCTTTAAGGGAATGGGCAGACTCTCAAAGGTTGCTATCCTATGATCGTGCCATTTAACTTACAGCAAGAAATATGACTTTCAGTTTCTGAATCCAGGCTCTTCAATTTCTCTAGGGTTATGAAGTTTCCCTCTGCATGGCACAGGGGGATGGAGGAGAGAGGGCTCTGCAGGTGGCTGGGTATTGGGCTATTTAATGTTAGAAACTGCTTTAAATAATTCAGGGAAGCAAAATTTGCATTCTTATTTACATTTGGCTCAGGATTAATTTGGAATTTGTTATATTTCATCAACACACACCCACTTTAGGGTTACAAGGGAAATCTCTTTTGATATTAAAACCTCACAGCAGATGGTCAACTTCAGATTGGCCTCACAACATTGACAGTTGACTTTCTTATTCTGACAGTCAAATACATTGCAATTATTTTCTGTCTGACTAATTTCAGACTTCATTTAAAATTGGAACAGTCTCTGAGCTTTGGTTGCCTAGGGATACAGCATAAAAAATAAAAAATTTGGAACATAAAGTAAACTATATCGATATATTTTTATAAAACATTTGAGGGCAGAAGAAGATAGTGACACACGTGTAATACATGATCTTAGTCTCAGTCACAATAAGAAATGTTTCATTTCATCATGCTTTGGGAAATCTGCACTCAAAAATTTCTAGCATGTCTCATATGAGTAGCAAAAAGGAATTATTGGATTTTTCTAGACATCAAGAAATAGTATAAAAGCATTACTCATCTATGTTAAAATGTTGAAAACAAAAAACAGACCACCAGCACTACCACCACCACCACCACCACCACCACCACCATCAAAGATGACAGTTTTTCAGCAAATGAATTTTAAAATACCAATGTTGGAATAGTAATTACCTGCAAGGGGCTCGCCAGGGACCTGTTTTTAGGTACTGTAAATGCTTTGAGAACATTGTCTTCATCTTCTGATGCTGGTGCCATTAAAATGGAGCTTGTAAGAATATTCTAAAGGGAAGAGAATAATTTGAAATTTAAATGAGGTTGGATAATATGAGAGCCAACATTTCTCTAACACTGTGGAGAGTAGATTACTATGAGACGATACACATTAGCATAAAAAAATGCAGTTATCTGCCAGAAATTCTCCTCACTACGAGCTAAAAGGAGAACTCAACTATGTCTGAAACTTAATCCCATTGTGGCAAACATCACCACAACACAAAGCTCCTTCGGGATCCCAGAATTCTAGGCATGCGTTAGACACTCAAAAAACATCTGCTGAATGAATTAATAAATACATGCCTTTCAAAACAGAAGATTAACTAAGTTCTGGGGAGAGAACACGTTATTTCATATACTGGTACAGAACTATCAATACTTTAGAGCTATAAATTATTGGGAAAAAATGGTGAAAAGTAGAGAATTTAGAACAAGACCTGAGTTCCAACCCAGCACCATCCCTTATTAGATATATAATCTTGAGCGAATGACTAAGCCTCTTTATGCCTCTGTTTTCCGGTTGACATAATAGAAATGATAGTAATACCCACCTGGCCAGGCGCGGTGGCTCAGGCCCATAATCCTAGCACTATGGGAGGCTGAGGCGGGTGGATCACCTGAGGTCAGGAGTTCGAGACCAGCCTGACCAACATGGTGAAACCCCGTCTCTACTAAAAATTCAAAATTAGCCGGGTGTGGTGGCGCATGCCTGTAATCCCAGCTACTCGGGAGACCGAGGCAGGAGAATCGCTTGAACCCGGGAGGCAGAGGTTGTGGTGAGCCGAGATCGTGCCATTGCACTCCAGCCTGGGTAACAAGAGCAAAACTCCGTCTCAAAAAAATAAAAATTAATAAAAATAATACCAACCTTACAGGATACTTGTGAGAATTAATTGAATTAATTCATTGAAAGCCCGTAGAATAGTACTTACCACTTAGTACCTACTAAATAAATCTCAGCAGTTGTTATTAGCTCTGATTTTCCTTAAGACATAAGGACAACCACTCACAAATTATAAACTTTAAAACTGGTGGTAGTAACCCAAAGGAATTGGGTACAATACTGGGCATCTGCTATAGATACTGGTTGATACCATAAGAGATGCTACACAAACCAAACAACAGACAACTTAACAAGAAGACAATATTATTTAGAAGACAAATAAAGGAAAATATAAAAATTAACATAGTTTTTATGTCCATGTAGTTGATTTTTTTTAATGGCAAAGGCACTCATATCATAAGAGAACAAATAATGAAAAAGTCTGCAATGTTTCTAATACATGAAAAAACTCAACTTTATACTCTACATTGATAATCATTTTTTAAAAACCATGCACGGAGAATATTTAGAAATAAGATGCCTTAAAGAGGCAGTGCTGAAACCGCAGCAGCCCCACATGCCACACACAGGACTGTGTGATGCGCCAGCGTCATATAACAACTTAGGGGCCGGTGCACACATACTTACCGGTGCATCTGCCACAGGCGAGGTCTGCGTGAACAGTTGAGTATTTAGACTGTCCCCTTCCCAGTGGTGTGAGCAGAAGAAGTTTCCTGATTTATCAGTTGGAGATTCCACCTGAAAGCATATAGAAAGTGCTTTGTTGTTTCTAGAACTTCCTATGAAACATGTACAGTCAGGAGTATATTTCTGGCCAGTCCCTCAAATACTTACATAAAACTATGTTGCTAACTTACACTATTAGTGTAACATTTTGCTCTATCTTCTGGATTCAACAAAGAACCACTATTGGCAAATTTAAAATGTGACTAGCTCCAAATTTACTGCTCATAAAGCTCCTATGTTTTCAACCAACGTTCTGATTCTAGGTGTTTATTCTATTATAAATATATTTTAACGGTATACCTAGTAGCATTGTATCTGTCGAGGATTTTATTTTGGTGACATAAAGGGTCTTTTGGTGACAAAAGACTGGTTTTTAATCACACTTCTGGTAAAACTGCATTACTGAATAAGCAAATCAGATTTTTAACTATGAAAAAATATCAAATACTTATCTTTACATGAAAATAAATTCAAGCAGCACTGTATCTAACCTGCTGGAAAACAACTGTGGCCAACAAGCTAAAACTTTGATCCTTGCAGGTTAGATTCCCTTTTTTTAATACAATGAATTAAAGACACTATTATTTTAATTTAAATTCCAATTCTTCACATCTAAAAACGAAATATCAACTTTCTATAATCAGTAATGTTTAAAAGTACATTAAAAAGCTGTTTCCCTCCCTTTTCTTGATCCTCTCTAGCATGTTTTCTGTCCAAACATGAAGTAGATAGAGATGGCTTGGCTTCCCAAAGGAAAGGCCAATGATGCCTACAGTCTGGCAGTACCTTTTCACTGCACCTTGTATGAAAATCTTGCATGAAAAGTGGTAGTGTTGCACAGTGCCAATGGCAGACACATCAAGCTGCACACAAGGAACAAAGTGGGCAGGATTCTCAGCTTGTTGCTTCCAAAGGATTTCGTGTTTACCTCTTGTTTGATTTTCTTCAGTAAGGGTGGTCCATTTTCTTGAAACTCAGCAACAATTCCAGATTCATCAGATTCCTGTTTGATCACATCCTGCAGGTCTTCTACTAGATGAGAGGGTGTCTGAGGCTAAAGGGAAGAGTGGGTATTTTTGCATCAGAGAGAACTTCTGACGGGACTAACAAACCAACTAAACCCAAGAACTTTTCTAGAACTTACTAGCATCTTCAGGGGACCATATTTAATTTCTTGAGCTGCAAGCGCGTGTTTGAATGGTGTAGGAGTTCTTGGAGAGCTTTCTAAGATTGACCTTTTGATAGCTGGGGTTCTAAAACTTTAAAAAGAAAAGAAACAGTGGTTCAATATAAAACAATACATGTCCCTACATGGCTTTACCTGTTACATTTCATATTTTTCCACTGAATACAACAAACTCTGTTATGGATTTGGAATTGGGTATGCTGATTAATCATATTATTCATTAAGAAAAAGAGAATATGCATATCACATATTTTCAAATATTTCAAAATATTATACCTCGAAGAATAAAAGCATTAAATGATTTTCCATCTTTCCTTAATGGCTCTGAAGACACATACAGTGCCTATGATCTGTATAAGACTATGAGCATCAAGAAGACCTGATGTCATTTACAAATCAGTTTTCCCTATTCATGAAAACAGAGCCCATACTACAAAACATGTTAACCTTTCAAAATTTACATTTTGTACTTCGAAATAAGAGTGCATTTCTTTTCAAGGTTTCTGATAATTCACACTTTCTCTACCATTTTTCTGAATTGATTAAGGCTTTATTGAATAAAAATGACTGCTTACTCATCCCTTGGCTTCTAATCATATAATATTCCTGGGGATGTCAGAAGAGGTCCTATCTACACATAAATTCAAAAAGAAAAAATAAGATTAAAAAATACAAACTAAAAATAAATAAATAATAAACAAATAAAATTAAATAAAAATACAAACTAGGTAAGAAATCATACTCATTCTTATTCTGAAACTTATAATTAGAGAGGAAAGGAGGTTGAAAATCTGGCTTTCATAAGAAAGCCTTATGGAGGGAACAAACAAACTGAATGGATAAGTTTTATGAAAACTACTTGTGCATAGGTAGGAAATTTTGGAGTAAGTTACAAAGGTAATTTAGTTTATCTTCCCATCTACCAGTAGGTAGTTGAAATATGCCCAGGACAGATATATTCAATGTGAGAACAGACATGATTATCTATAAGTGGTCAGTAAAATTATGCACATACAAGTGGATCAGACATCTGGGGACTATATTCCATTAACTAAATATAAGTAAATAAGATAAATAATTTTATTTCCTGAACCAAAGACTTACACAGTATTTTCCTTTTGAGTTTTCACAGTCTGGTCTCTATGAAATGGTGTTGTAACAGTCAATTTGTGACCAATGAGAGGGGTGGAAGTTAAAGAAGGCATTTCCGAGTCTGAGTTTTCATGGTTACTGGAAGTGTTTAAGAACTAAACATGGAGAAAAAGAAAAAAATTACTTAGATTAGATGGCAATTCTTTAAATTTAAAAATCACAATTTAAAAATCATACCTAGATAACAAGAATGTTTTACTGACCCACTATATTAAATAATAAAGATGCTAACAAGCATGTCATGTTGACTAGGCTATTGTTTTATTTCGACTGAGCACCCAAGATTTGGGTGTGGTTTCCAAGAAATAAAATTTAGGGTCAATGCTGAAAAACTTGCAAAACTGTGAGAAAATATTCTCAATAAATGACACTTATCATTAAAGATAATGAGATGTGTTCTTAACATTTAAAAGGCTTTAGTGATTTTGGGGAAAATAATAGTTAATAATTAATAGTTTCCTTTCATACTTTGTTTTTTCTCTTTAATAATATATGAACCAAAATTAGTATTACAAAAGGTTTACATTATGTGGAAAATTCTTGAATAATAAACTGTGTCTCTCAGAACACTAAAGTTCTGGGAAAAAACTAGGTGTTCCGTAAAGAATTCCAAGGTAAAATAAATTTGGGAAACACAACATATTGTAATCTTCTCCTGGAAATTCACAAGGCACAACGGCATATTAATAACTCTGAGAAGGCCTGCAGTTAAAAAAAAAAGTTTTTAAAGAAATGGGGTCTTGCTACATTCCCCAGACTGAACTTGAACTCCTGGGATCAAGCGATCCTCTCACCTTAGCTTCCCCAGTAGCTAGGACTACAGGCCCATGCCACTATGCCCAGCTAAGAAACCTACTTTTAACTTTTTGTTTGATTCAGTGTTTCCCAAATGTATATACCTATATCATACCTAAATCTGTTCTTAAAACAAATTCAACAGATACAACTGGAAAAATGTTTTAAAGTACCAAATTATCTACTAATTGTAATTATTTAATTTAGGAACACAAATCTCTGATAAGCATTGTAATTTTCATGCCTTAGAAAAAGCTGTACGAAATAAAAATATTCGTTGGCAAAAACTGCACTAGTAAAATAGCGTGGCACAACTCAAAAGAGCCAATGTTGAGAAACTGAAATTAAAAATATGTTCTTTTCCTTAAGCATTTGTTTCTCCTCTTCTTCCCAAACTCTTCCACTTAAAGATGAATTGGAACCTTTAAATTTTCTAGTTGCACCCCAAATGTTATATAAACACAATTTGGTTCCCTCCTCCCCTGGGTCAGTGAATCGCATAAAAATAAATGAACAATGAGGCAGAAACGATGTTAACAATTTTAAAGAGAGGGATCAGATGGGAGAAAAAGAAAGGGACAGAAATGTTAAACTCTAGTGTTGAAGGAAATAAAAGTACGTTTCATGCAACTATCTTTCAAAACCACCCAAAAAGTAAAAGAGAGAGAATGATGCCAAAATCAACAGTTAGCCTGCAGACAGCCTAAACTTTGGAAGGCAGTATAACTTAGCAACAGCTAGATTCAACTACGGAATGAAATCAGCGAAGGCAGCAGTAATTAGTCATTTGTTCCGAAGTATTAGTTTCTAGATTATTAAGGCTCAGGTGTCTGTTGAAAATGAGTAACAGCTGTGCAGAAGTTGTGTTCTACCTGCGAGGGAGAGAAGGGTAGGCTTTTGACAGGGGAACGCTTGGGAGTTGAACTGCTGACGTCAGCAAATATGAAGGAGCTAGAGTCTCCAGTGGCTAAGGGGCTGGCCTGGCCCCGTTTTTTTCGAAGGATGACCAGCGGAATTGTGCTGTGCCTTGCAGGAGGTAAGACCTTGGGTGGGTCAAGTGAACTCTCACTCAACATACGTTTGTTCACCCTTGGGCTAGGTTCTCCTGCAGGTCTAGTCCCATTGCCCTCTCTTTGCTGAAGATGTAGGGCTTTGCCTGTGTGATGTTGGCTAGGTGAAAAATCTGCTTCTTCAAAGAATTCAAAACTGCTGAGATCACACCATGATGAAGAATCCTGAAACAATGTGGGAGGCACAGAACTTTGAGACAGTGTGTGCCATCATCACCTGAAACACAGCACTGAGAGAGAGATGCTCAACGCAAAGCAAACACTGGGCCCATTGGTTTGGCTTCTTGAGCAACAGCTTCAAGATGAGCAGTTGCTCTGTTATACTGCAGTAGAGCGGGGTCTAGCGGGCTGCCTCGAGGCTGGCCCTCTGACATGCTGTAGGGACCTCCCGACACTCTACATCTGCATGCAATGGAAAGCAAAATGAAGACCTTTTCTAGACGGCATATTATGGCAATGGTCATCTCCTATCCAATGAGTGCAATAAATTTTTTTTTTTTTTTTTTTTTTTGAGAGGGAGTCTGGCTCTGTGGCCCAGGCTGGAGTGCAGTGGCCGGATCTCAGCTCACTGCAAGCTCCGCCTCCCGGGTTTACGCCATTCTCCTGCTTCAGCCTCCCGAGTAGCTGGGACTACAGGCGCCCGCCACCTCGCCGGGCTAGTTTTTTTTTTTTTGTATTTTTTTTTAATAGAGACGGGGTTTCACCATGTTAGCCAAGCTGGTCTCGATCTCCTGACCTCGTGATCCGCCCGTCTCGGCCTCCCAAAGTGCTGGGATTACAGGCTTGAGCCACTGCGCCCGGCCAATAAATGCTTTTTAACCAACTGGGAAAGGAACCAAGTGTTTGCTGAGGAGGTGCTGAATACAAATTTGTTTCACTAAAGATGATTCATCTCAGTGAAGCAATAGGACCAGTAATCAATAATCAGCATTTTGTGGAAAGAGCCAGGTATGACCAAGGAGCTGATTATCACTTCAAATACACTAAAAGATGGCTTTCAGCTCTGAGTAAGCAAACCCTTAATGTGCCATTCAAAAGCAAGATAAAATTCTAGAGAAGCACCATGAAGCAAAGAAAAAAAAAAAGTTAAAAGTAACTCAAACACCATTCCATTCCCATAATCCAAGCTCTGCTTTGTAAGTCATTAATTTGACTATTTTTAAAAATATGACTTTTGAAGGAAAAGTGTGAAAATGTGAAAAAAACTCTTCCTTCAAAAGTCCTGTTTTGTAAGTATTTATAAATACTTTTGTCTCGGTAGGCTATGAAATCAGATCTTTGAAAAAACATAGGAATGAAGATGAAAATCATACTTCTACCTTTACATTAATATATGCTAATAACATCTTGGCTATAGAAAATGGCAATGATTTCAGAAATGGGTTTTCTAATTGATCTTCCAGAATCGTTAACTTCCCTTCACAATTCTACTTACAGAATCTATAAATTGGAGTGTTTCTGCAAATTCTAAGAGGTTCTTAACATTATCCAGAATGGTGCCCTGGTGGACGATCATGCACCTTGCTGGCGAGGCGCTTTCTTCAGGTAGGGAGCCAGGATCCGCTGGCAGAGATGGAGTGGAGTGGTGTTCTCCCAAACAGGAAACAGGTGCAGTGTCTCCATGAGGTCTGGTATGGTCGGCAATGGTGGTGCTGTGCCACCCGGGGTAGCTGCATGTGTGGTTCTGTGTCTAAGGAAGGGGGAAGGGTGTAGAAATAAAGAGAGGAGAGAAGAAAGGGAGAAGGAACTTAGCAATGAAGTTGCACAAGGTATCAGATGCTGTTGGAGGAAAGATAAGAGTAGTTGCATCATCCCAAACTTACGCCTATGAAACAGTTGTCAAGATGTTTCCTTTTATCAATGCAAGACCCCGTTTTAAATAGTGCTAGAGGTGTTACCTACCATATGATTACCTTGCTATCATTTTGTAAAAATGTCAAATCATAGGTCTATATTTCGAAGTATAATTCTCGTATTGTCTTAAAATTCCACTTTAATTTGCCAAGGTCCACAAATGCTTGCTGTGAGTGAAGAACTGAAGAACTGTCCTATTTGCATTCTAACCACAAAAAAGCTAGAGGACTCAGGAGGCAGAGTTGCTTTGATCTACACATATTCTTGTTGCCTCTATCCCTTTCTAATGCTACAGATTGCATTGATGCAGTGAAGCACTGCCAAATCAACGTGGTTAGGAAAGCAGAAGAGCAAATTAACAGAAGTCTCCTTACAGTATGACCACACAACAGGAGAAATTGCAAAACATTAACTAAAGTTAAAAAGTGGTCGAACTAGCATGTGCACATAATCATCTTATTATTTAACAAAAATAAATTTACCCCTAGGAACACCTACTGGGCATCACTTCTCTTTTATTGTCTTTGTTGGTTAACTATATATGTTACAAAGCACAAGGAGCCATCCCAGTTGGCTGCCCAGTTGCTAAAGAAGATGTCAGAATTCAGTAATGGCCCACATCACTTTCACACGTGCAAATAAAAGAGAGCAGCTAATGTTATTTATGAAGAGGTTTTATATATAACCTTTTACATGTATATACTGAACATGCATCAAATCATATCTGAAATTATAAAATATGAAAATATAGGTTAACAAAATAATAGAAAAAAACCAAAATGGTACCATAGACATAGCTCTGTAGAAAATGCAGATTTTCATTCATTTTATCTTTGCTAGTCTTTAAACTGATTATAGTCCTTCTGAAGAAAAAAAAAAATTGATGATAACAATCATAAGTGGATATTGCATTTTTATTGCAATTACAAAAAGACTGCTTCCAATTTAATCAGCATATATTCTGATACAAACTACATTTTACTACAAGCAACTTCTTGTGTTGAGACATTCTGAAAGGATATATAGAGCCTTGGTAAGTGTAATATTTAGAAGAGAAGAGTGCTTAGGTAAACTGAGGCAAAGCTGCTATCCCCTCATTCAAGCACATGACGACAGTCTTACTGGTAGCGCCTGCTGTCCTTTTAGCTCATTCTCAGTTGACATTAGGAGCAATTCTAATTCCTTTATTCGCTTTTCCTTCTCAGGGTCTTCATCATTATAGTGTCTCTGAAATTACAAGGTAAGGGAAATAAAGACAAAGGTCTGACTGGAAGCTGCAAATACAATAGGTGTAGCCAATATGGTCATGAGGTACCACACAGCCCAAAGAGCCTCACTGCGAAAACACCACCAACCAAATTGGCTCCTACAGAAGTCTTTGTCAATGTTATTTCAGACTTAAGGGAGTGATGTGAAATCTCAGACAAGAGTAGATGCTGACTGATGAGTTATTTCATCTTGCAACATCAAAGAATCAGAAAACTCTAGAGCAAACTCATTCTAGAAGACAAGATTAATAGATTGCTGGCCAAGACTCTGCTCTCCTCTCCATGTTCCTTTTCCTTTTTACTTCAGTTGCTCAGGTGAAAATACGTGTTTAGATGAAAGAAATAAGGATTTCTTAAAAGTGGTGCTTTGAACAGTGAATGATCAATGATCTTACCTGAATGGCGGCGGCAGCTGGCTGAGGGACATTGACTATATTTACATGTAACGCTACAGGGTATGGAACATGACTGGAGACCTAGATGGAAAAGACAATACAAAGGCCACATCATTCAGGCTACATATGCTGAGGTTTTGTTCTGGGACTGAGAGAAAAAAACACTTTACTGATAAAATACACTAAACAATTTTAAAAAACCTTTTAATGTGAAATTTAGCCAGGCCTTTGAAATGGCTAAACAGCTAAAGGAACATAGTGAAAAAAATGTAAAGTCCTCATCAATCCTTGGGAAGTGCTGACAAGCACTTTAAATTTTGGGATGTGTTCCTTAATTACAGAAAAACACAATGAAAAAACAACAAAAAATATATTCTAAAATACATTAATGAATGTTTGAAAATTGTTTCTATGGGAAAAACTGATGGTACCAGCTGTTGGTAAATAAAAATATTTTTCTTGCCGGGCGCGGTGGCTCAGGCCTGTAATCCCAGCACTTTGGGAGGCCGAGGTGGGCGGATCAGGAGGTCAGGAGATCGAGACCATCCTGGCTAACACGGTGAAACCCGTCTCTACTAAAAATACAAAAAATTAGCTGGGCGTGGTGGCGGGCGCCTGTAGTCCCAGCTATTCGGAGGCTGAGGCAGGAGAATGGCGTGAACCCGGGAGGCAGAACTTGCAGTGAGCCAAGATGGCAAAAATATATATATATTTTTTTCTTGGAATAATTTTGAGTTTTAATAAAAAGCACAGGACTTATGACAATTTATTCATCTGAGACCTTTCTGTAAAGTTTGTAGTCAAATCCACGAACAGAGAATAAAAACTATTTAAGAACATGCTTTGCATATAATTTGCATATGAGCTCTCTATTCTTGGGTACGTTTCATCATTTATTATTGTTGGTCTTAAGATTAAAGTTCCTCGATTTTTTTTTTTTTCCCTTTCTTCTTATTTTTCCACCTATTATGGATTATCCCTTTCCCTAAATATAAATACTAGAAATAAGGAAGGGATCACACTGATCCAATGGAGACTGAAAGGAGACATCAGAAAATGAATGTCACAAAGTTCTGCTCCTGGCTCAGAGTAAGAAGGTAAACATTTACTGAGTGAATAAATTAAGACATGTCTGCCTGATCACTACCAGAATGGAACATACCATAACCACTGAATTTCAGTGTCAAACTCTCTCCTTTTTAAACATAATACTACCTTTCCTTTTCACTTTGGAAGAGAAAAACATTACATCTACAAATGCGACTCCATTCCCCTATTCTTCAATAGTACCTTAAGTAAATTTACATTCAAAGGTTGCCTTCCAATTAGATTTGAAGCAGCAAGTTAGAATCAGACAGCTCGATTTCTAGTCAGCACTATCTCTATGAGCTGTGTCACCCTGGGCAAAGCACTTACCATCCTCGTTTCTGGAGACATAAACCAGGGGTAACAAACAATACCTACATCCTATCTACTTCAAAGGGCATAGGTGAAGACTGGCCATGATCATGCTCAGGAAAGTTCTCTGAAAAGTATACAACTGCAAAGTATGATCATCACCTGGAGCTAAACTAGCCATCTCTCTCATTAAACTAGATTCTCAGGAATGGCTTACATTTTGTGCTTCAGAAATGTGGTAATAGGAATAGTCGTTGTTAACAGTGGGCTGGCCAGTTGCAGGGAGTTGAGCTGTAGGTGGAGCCTGAGCAAAACCCATCAAATGACTGTTCTTCTGGAAGCTTGTGGCCACTGCTGGCTGGCTGGCTTTTGAAGACTCCTGCAGATAACCTTCCTGTTCGACCTTCCGACGCATTGTAGAATTCCAGTGGTTCTTGATAGCATTATCAGTTCTGCACAGAAATATATCACACAAATTTCACAAACAAAAATTTCAATTCAGATTACAGTGAATTGACAGAAAACTGTTTCTAACAGTGACCTTTCCCTTGGGCCTAATAGTTGTTTTCTCTTTTTAATTGTTTCCTTCTTCTCCACCCCCTAAGATCAGGCTTTCTCTAGTGCCTAGTTAGAAATCCATAGATTTCTCTTAATTACACAATCTGGAATGCGTGTCATTTTCTAGAAATATCAGTATCTTTTAACCATTTCATTTCCTTGGTAAAGGAGTACTTTCAATACAATAACCCTTCAGGTTTATTCTGACCGGTCGCGGTACAAGACTCTAACACCATGTAAAGTTGCAGCTGCCTTGGAGAAATTACTCCTTTGAACGTGGCACAGCAGGGCCTACACACCACGATAGGGACATGATGAAGTTTGGTGGGTGATAAGATGCTGCTGATGAAGAATACCTCACTCTTTATCTCTCAAAGCACTAGCAAGAACTTTTGAGACCAAAAAACCTCCTACGCTTTGAAAGCCACCCCAACTGTTTTTCGAATCAGACAGAGATGAGAGTGGAAAATGGGATCCCGAAGGGAAAGATCCTAACCCCCAGTATATTTTCAAACGGCAACACATTTTTTCTAAAGTCTTTCCATTCTCAGGAAAACAGTTTCTCAATTCAAAGAAACCGTTTAAGCCTCCCTTTTTCTATTTCAATGGGGGTGGGGGAATGTATGCTAAAGAAAGAGGAAGTTCAATAGCCCTGTTAATTTTGAGAAGAATCAGCAGTGTATCCTCTCAGGCCATATGGGAGTAAAGGCCTTTCTTTTACCAACCTCTTGAAATTTCTAAGTTTATACTGAACCACAAGGGTGCAAATGCTTTGGAGCATCACTAGAGAATACTACATAAACTTTCTCCTGGATTATGAAGCTCGAGAATAAAACTATTTTTAATATTTTCTATCTATATCATTTTAATGCAAGATTTATCATTAAAAGTATTGCTTTCCAAAGTAACGAAATCTGTTATATACTATTTAAGTGGGAAAAATGGGACAAAAATGAGCTTCCATAGTTATCCCTCATAATGAGGTCATTTTCTTGCCTTGTTCTTTAAAAAGAAAGCATTATTACCCTGACCATTATTTAAAAACCTGGAAGTACTATTTCTTTAATCAACGAAGTAAAAAATTAAGCAAAGTGGTATAATGAAATGAATAATGGTGGCCAGGTATGGTGGCCCATGCCTATAATCCCAGCACTTTGGGAGTCGAAAGGATTGCTTGAGGCTAGGAGTTTGAGACCAGCCTGGGCAACATAGCAAGACCCCATCTCTACAAAAAATATTTAAAAATCAGCTCGGTGTAGTGGGGTGCACCTGTAGTCCTAGCTACTCAAGAAGCTGAGGTGGGAGGATACCTTGAGCCTAGGAGTTCAAGGATGTATTGAGCTATGACCATGCCACTGCACCCTGTCACACATGAGTGACAGAACAAGCCTCTGTCTCTAAAAAATAATAATTAAAAAAAAGAACATTAAAAGAAATGAATGATGGTTATCAGGCAAATGGTAGCTGAGTTCCTCTGAGTCACTTAATAAGCTATGTGAACTGCTAGAGAGACAAACTGTCTTCAGTTTCTTTCTATGCATTTAGAGTTTTATAGTTTACCAAGTCCTTTGACATTCATTTTACTTGATCCTAACACTGGCCCTGTATGATTCACTTTGGAAATGGGGAAATTGAGGCTGGGGAAAGTTAAATGTCTTCACCCAGGGCTTACTGTTAGGTGGATCCTGGAAGTTCTCAACCAAATAAACTCTAAGATGTCTTCAATCTCTAAAAGCTATGTAGCTGGTTTATCTAATAAAACACTTACGACTGATGAAATATAATTTACTCACCATACATTTAAAGCAGAATGTTCAATACCCACTCCCTCATTCTTCCCGATCAATATATTTTTTGACATATTATTACCGTCCAGGCAGTAGCTTTGCGATTTCTGCCCATCTGTTCCCCAGTCTCTTGTGTGCCTGGTAAATAATTCTGTCTTCCTCTTCTGTCCAGGAGGTTTTCTTAACTTCTGGATTCAAGTGGTTATGCCACCTCTCCCTACATTGTTTTCCAATTCTCCCCTTTAAGTGCTTGGCAATAACAGACCAACGTTTCGGACCGTATTTCTGTACAAGCTCTATCACCTTCAGATAAACACACAAAAATAACCTATGTTTTAAAGTTATGTAATGAGTCAGTATAATCATTCTGCAGTGTTACAAGATCTTTAGAAAATTTCCGAAATTTGCTTTCATTCACTGGAAATATGGGAATAGAGTCCTCTACTTCCTGTTTGCCCATTTTACCTGCTTCCTCAAATAGGAAAATATTCAGCATTTTGGGAATATTCTTAATTATGATTCACACACCAATGAAGAAAGAACTTACTCTCTGATCTTCTTCTTTGGTCCAAGGACCCTTGATGAGCTCAGGGTTTAGTACTTTCTGCCATCGGTGCTGGCATTGCACATCTGTTCGATTCTAGACAAATAAAGTATGCACCACCATAAAGATATGATAAGGACGTGAATTTTTTGTTGTAATAGGAATCACACATAGACCATATGCAGTGAAAATATTTAAGAACATTTTAGAGCATGTTTAGAGCCCATCTATCCCTCATGACTTACGGGCTACAGAACACGCAAGTAATACATCAAAGTTGCATCTAAAATTAGACACTCTGCCTCCTGAGGGAAACATTCCTGCCACATGATCTAAAGGACCATCATACTACACATGTGCCTGCCAACTTAACCTTAACCTCAGATACTTTTGCAGAGTATCTACATGGCCTAAGGCTTGATACAAATTCTACATTGTCAGGCTTTCACGGAAACCACCATAAAAGACTAAAGTTTGCTTCCCATTCAAACAAGAGATGTGCTTCAATCCAGAACCATAGTATTTATATTGCAGAAGGAATAAAGATGCATAAAAGATAGGTCCTATGTTACAGGAGTCTGTAATCTTATAAGAAGGAAAAGACAAGTAGATAACTGACTATCATAGAGGCTGAATTTGATTCATCTGGAAGAAAAGACCAAAACAAATGATACTGAAGTGAGGAGAGAAGCATCTTCTTAGGAGGACAAATGGTTTCCTTGGGAGGAGTCTTGAAGAGCTCTTCATAAGGACTTTGAAGGATGGACATAACTTTAATTGGTGATGTAAAGGGAGAACATTCTAGGAGGTGGGAAGACCAGGAGCAAAAGCCCAGAGGAGGGAAAGCAGAAATAAATTCAAGCAAACCTGCTTACAGAGAGGAAGTAGGAAACAGAACTGGAGCTGTAAGTTGGGGCAATAGAGGGGGCCTCTGTGAGCCAGGTCAAGGCAGTTTACTTAATTTGTGAGATTCTAAGTCACTGTGGTTGGTTTTGAAAAGATAAGGTACAGCTGCATTTTAGGAAGTTCCACCTGCCAATGGTGTTTGGGATGAATGGGAAAGTAGAAAACTGGCTGGGCACGGTGGCTCACGCCTGCAATCCTAGCAGGTGGATTGGGAGGCTGAAGTGGGCAGATCACTTGAGGTCAGGAGTTTGGGACCAGCCTGACCAATATGGGAAACCTTGTCTCTACTAAAAATACAAAAATTAGCCAGGCATGGTGGCGGGCACCTGTAATCCCATCTACTCAGGAGGCTGCAGCACAAGAATCGCTTGAACCTGGGAGGCAGAGGTTGCAGTGAGCTGAGATCACGCCACTGCACGCCAGCCTGGGTGACTGGGTGACAGGATGTTCTGTAGTCTGTAAGTAATGAGGGATAGATGGGTGACTAGACTCCATCTCAAAAAAAAAAAAAAAAAAAAAAAAAAAAAAAAAAGAAAAGAAAAGAAAAAAGAAAGAAAAATGGAAAACTACAAGTGGAGAAGCCAGTTAGGAAGTTATATAGTAGTCCAAATGAGAGGGCAGGAGCCCAACCTTCAGCACAGCCATGAGAACGAAAAGGACAGAACTGACTATAAAGGAATTCCAGGGTCCTTAGTAACTGCTTAGATGTAGGGGTTGGGGGAATGTGATAAAGTCAAGAAAGGTCTCCAGAATTTTAAACCCTCATACCAAAAAGTATTGCTATTGACAAAAATAGGGAATTTAGGAAAAACTGACTTGGAGGAAACATCAAGTTTAATTATCTACCATGTAACAAACCATCAAAATACTAATTTTCCTATAAATGAAAAGATAAAACAAGAAGCAATTGTTTTTAAAACTTGATAATCTAAATTATAATAATCGATTCTACTAATCTAAATTCTAATAATCAATTTAGAAATCCCAATTATATGCATTATAATATAAAATATAAGTTATGGGTAGGGCATTTCTCCCACTTCTTAAATGTGAGTAAATTATACACTATCTTAATAACCCCTCCTAGAATATTTTATAGAAATCTTTGGGAGAAGCTTTCCTTTCGTTATAAGAAAAAATTACTAACTTACCGGGAGATAATTGGCAATAACTTTCCAGTCATCTGTTCCATTCTGTTCCACCAGCTTCTTTAGTTTTTCATCCTAAGACATTTAAAGGTAATCCTAGGATATCAGTCGTTTACTATATAACTCTGTTCAAGTTAAAGTAAATGAGGGAATGAATCTAGAATAAAAAATCTCTCTGAAGTATCCAAATACAGCAGATATAAATGTAATACTCTGACTTGGGAGCATAGATTTATTTAGAGTCAGACTAGAGTTGGCATCCTGACTCAACTATTAATTGTGTAAAGCAGGTATACCATTTTACTTTACTGGGCCTTAGTATTGCCATCTATAAAATGGAAATTAACAGGGTTATTTGGGGATTACATGAGGCAATTTATTAACAAGAGGCTGATATTAACAGGGTTATCTGGGGATTACATGAGGCAATTTTGCAAAACATTTATCACAATGCCTGGCATATACTGAGTGTTTATTATAAATAACTGCTTTACTCTGTTGGGAAAAAATGCATTCCAGTGCCAGATTCAGTACACATTTACCTATGTAATAAATAGGATCTGGAGCAAGAAATAGAATATTTCCAGTTAGTTTAACCTTTTATAAAGAAATAAAGATCATTTTTAAAATTAAACTTGAAGGCTATATAAGAAAATTAGTTAGATTTACATAGGCCAAATGTGTTAGAACATAAAAGACATTAAACATTTCCAGCTAATCAGTTCTTTTAGTTTATATGCTGTTCGCAATCCTACCAGTTCATAAGTATCTTTATAAATGCATTCCTTCTTATGTTTCTGCAAAGGTAACATTCACACACAATGGAGGTCCCCGGTATAATACAGACACAAGAATTAGGAAACCAATGTTGACAACAGAACTTCCGTATCATAAGGATTATCCAAGTGGACAATCTTAATAGGTAAAATATTAATTTCCTATGAGCCTCTCTGGGAATCCTACCTGCCTGTTAAAAGGAGCTCTTGTTTAAATGAAGCAGAGAACAGTGAAACTGAAGAAGAGCCAATACTATTTATTGTAACATGAATCATCTAAAATTAGTTGCAAAAATGTTTGAGAACATTAGAGAAACTTTTCTCCACATATTAATAATTTTGCTTCTAAAATATTTTTCCATTCCTACAAAATCAAACTTTTGATAAGCCAGCTGAAAAAGAAACAGAGGAAGCAGATATGTCTCCAACCATTACTAGATGCTTTTAAAACATACCTTCATGTAGATGGCTCTGTGAAATATATCAAGGATATTAAATGAATACACTGTAAAAAGATGAGTTCTCTGAGTGTTGTGTTTTATTCTTTTGTTTGTTTTGTTTTTGGGAGTAGCAAGTCATTCACTTATTGAGAGAATATTAATATCCTACTTTGAGTCAAGTACTTGTGAATTCAGGAAACACAAAGATGAATAGACATTGAGCCCTGCCCTCAACAGACTTGCAGTTAGCTGGAGGAGGGATATATGTCCCAGCAACAATAAAGTAGAACATGCATCCATGCATGGGATCACTGGAGGATGCATCCAATCCTGTTTGGTGAAGCCAGGGATGGCTTCACAGAAGAGGTGATATCTTCATGGGTGATGTAAAAGTAGGAAGAAGAGGCGGGACAAAAGGATGAGAACTCAACAGGCAGAAGGAAACATAGATGAAGCCTAAAATGAGAAGAAGAGGACTTTCAAGGAACTGAAAGTAGTGTGGAAATGGATAATATAATAGAGTGGGGGGCGTAGGGCACGCTGCACATGCGGGCTAGAATAAGATCTCAAAGAGGCTGCTAATGAGCTTGAGCACCTGTAGTTTAGCTGAAATTTTGTTTTTTATAAATTATACACTCTATCTATTTTCTGCATCTTTTTTTGAGACGGAGTCTCGCTCTGTCGCCCAGGCTGGAGTGCAGTGGCCGGATCTCAGCTCACTGCAAGCTCCGCCTCCCGGGTTACGCCATTCTCCTGCCTCAGCCTCCCGAGTAGCTGGGACTACAGGCGCCCGCCACCTTGCCCGGCTAGTTTTTTGGTATTTTTTTAGTAGAGACGGGGTTTCACCGTATTAGCCAGGATAGTCTCGACCTCGTGATCCGCCCGATCTCAGCCTCCCAAAGTGCTGGGATTACAGGCTTGAGCCACCGTGCCAGCGAAATTTTTGTTTATAAATTATACCTGAAATTTTGTTTTTTATAAATTATACACTCTATCTATTTTCTGCATCTTGATAAAATGATTAGTTACCTCTTCCCGGGTCCACCTTGTTTTCCCCAAGTGACGCTTTCCAGACTTGGGAAGCAGCCCATCATAGTCATGGTCACACATCTCAAAGTCCTCATCATCCTCGTCACTGCTATATATGCTGCAGAAATAAAAATGGGTAGACGTGGACTGAAACAAGAGGATTTAGACTAGTACTGGATTACAAAACTTATACAAAATTCCTCAACAATCTTTTCAAAGGTTATGAAGACAAAACTTTGAAAACTTGCACAACAAGATTGTTTGCTGCATTCTGTTGCTCTAGTATTGTAAACTGGTTCTGCTGTTATGGGTATCCACAGATACGGCCAAGGACCTGGCACCTTCCTATTCCCCTGCATGTCTGAACCTGCTGTTACTATTAGACCAGGGACAAGTTACACATTTGGCCACCTTCCAACCAGTGAAGATTTAAGTTGAAAACTTAAGGTTAAGGACAAGAAAAGGAACAAGAACCCATGTCCTTTATATAAGTGAACACTCAAAATCTTTGGCATTTGTCACATCGTTTAAATAATATTTCTCAAACATAATAAACAATTCAACTATGTTATTCCAATGGGGTTTTTGTTTTATTAAAAAAAGAAAAAAATCAAGAAGCAATATACCCCAAAACGTAATTATAGTCATTCCATAAAGTCTAGAGGATTAGGAGAATCTAAGAGGAAAGGATTTTAAAACCTAAGGAAAGATAAGAACATTGAGTGATCAAACTTTAATGTTTTGTAAATAAAATTAATACCAAATTGCTCACAACTCCAGGCCTGGTTGATCCAACTTGTGCCCATGTTTACAATACTTAGTTTCTAGAGTAACTAAGTGAATAATTAGGCCACTTGTTAGAGTCTTACTTACTCTTGTTTTCTCTGTCTCTGACAGAATAGTGTTTGAAATATTATAAAATGTAACCTAATCCAGAAGGGATTTCCCCAGAAAAAATCCATGGATTTAAAAGAACCCATTACTATTTTCAAAAGCTTTTTCTTTTATTTAGTTAACCTAGGAAATTTTATGACTTTTGAAGATGTAACTCTATGCTTACCGTTTATTAATCACATACTGATTAGATGACAATAATTTTACAGACATAGTTTATTTTATAGTTTTTCTTATAAAAAATAGGAAAAATACTATCTTAGAAACTTCACTAAAATTTGTCATAGAAATGTTGAGAAACCCATTAAACTAAGACCAATTAAAAACAATGATATAAAGCCATGTCATAATGTAAATCATCGTTTTTAAAAAGAAAAGTTACATTCATTACAGGTTTTGTCTTCCCAAACTCACTCACATATGCATATTACCAGCCCCCTACAAGTCAAACTAAAAATCCTGAATTGGGGGTTCTCATAATTTAAAGCTATTATTTTAAGCAACTATTTGATAGTCCAGGTTGTATGGTGACATGATGTAATCCAAATTTAAAATACCACCACCACCACCAAATAAAACTCCAGGAAATATATATTTATAATCTGTAATAATTCCCTTCATTTAGTGTCTGTGTTTTGAAACAATAGCCTAGTTCTGTTTCCACTGTCAACAGGAGGCACTAAACAACTTCTGAACAAGAATTACAAAAATATAAAACACGATATGATAAAGCAAAAAAAAAAAAAAAAAAAAAAAAAAAAGCTATAAAGCCCAGAGGTGTAAGTCTGCATCTTTTGAAAGATTCATAGGGAACTCCTTGGAAAGCCCCCAAATGCAGTCCCTTGTGAAATGTGAGAGACACCAAGAAAACCAGAGGAATCTGAAACTGCAGTCATAGATTCAAGTCGAATTAACTTTTCAGGTTTGGCTGGATCTAGAGGTCACATTTTCAGAACTGAGGACATTTTTCAGAGCAGTCATTGAGCACCTCTCTCTCTCGGCAGCAGTTTAACAACCCAGGAACAAGCAACCTATTCAGCCGCCCGCAGGGGGCAGCCAACGTCAGGTGAGAGCACGGGAATCAACAGGACTAGGGTTCTGGAGGCAAAGGTTCTAGTCTAGCCTCCACCTTGCTGTATGACTTGGACAAATCACTTCCTCTCTCTCAAGACTTCAGTTCCCCGCCTTTACATAAGGGCTTGCTTGGATCCTATTTCTAAGGTACTTTCCAGCGCTAATACATGACCCCCCCATGTCCTTCCGTGCCTCTTAAAAGCTAAGCACAGAAGCAAAGATGTGCAAAATCAAGGTCTTGGGGGCAAGGTGGAGAATGACTTCTGCGGGACCTGAAGGGGCCAGGACGCAGCAGGGCGAGTCCGGGGCTGCTCACGCGCCCAGTTCCTGAGTCTCCCTGCCAGGCTGGGCACCCAGGCTCGCCTTTGAACTTTGCATGCGATTTGCTTGCTCTAAGTCGTCCTAGTAGCATGATTAATTTCTTCTAAGGAACCTGAAATAACTTTTGCTTTATCTGCTCTGACGAGATCTCAGACCCAACAGTCAGAGGACTTTCAAAGGCTGATTTCAGGGTTGATGCAGTCTACTCCCCACCTGCTAGACCCGGTGTGGTTACAAAAGTACAACTATGAATATTACATTCTGTCAAGGAAACAAACCGTGCAAAGAAACGAAAAAGAAAAGAGGTGCTGGGGGTTGGGAAGAGGGAGGGGAGCGGGAGGAAGTGCCTTGTGGCCGCTACTGTGATTCGGAGGGGTTCAAACTCATTTCGCTGACCTGGTTAATATAATCCCTGCCGAGTTGACGCTCGCCCTTGCAAGAAACGGCTCCGAGCCCGCAGTCGGGTTTCTCTTCCCCCTGAGGCAGGTTCAAGGCTCCCGCCCCTCCCGGCCGCCTCCCCTCTGGGCTACCTGGAGCCTCAGGGAACCTGCGCGGCCCCGCCCCGCGGGGGCGGCCGAGACCTCGGGGCGCGGAGCCTCTGCCGCGCCTCCTCCCAGCACCCCTGCCCGGCTCACTCCTCCTGCTGCCAGTTTCAGCTCTCGGAAAAAAAAAAAAAAAAAAAAAACAAAACAAAACAAACAAACAAAAAACAACAACAAAAAAAACAGAGGACCCCAGTAGCTGTACTGTTAAGTCCTAAAGGCGAAAAGTGGAGCCCTCGAGGGCAGCACCTGCCCCGCGCGACCAGGCTCCGGGGGAGGCATAGGGGGCCCGGGGCTCCCCCAAGTCGCCCTCTAGTCCTCAGAGCCCAGTCAAGCCCCAGCGCTGCTCCCCGCCCAGCCCAGCCCGCGGGTGCTGCTGCAGGGTCTCCACCCACGCTCTTTGCAACTTCTCAGCGCCGCGCGGGGAACAGCGCCCGCAGGCTCAACAACGAACCAGTAGGAGAAAATAAAATAACCTAAGGAAAGGCGAAAGGATTTGCTTTGCCTCCACGGACTTCTCCCTAGAACTCCTTCGCGAGGGTCCGTCCGGTCACCGCGCCTCGGCCAGGGCGACCTAAGGCGGCTGAAGGAGGGCGCGAGGAGGCGCGGCGACCTTAGTCGCACCCACGTGTACGCGCCGCGCAGGGACCTCTCGCCTGGGGGCAGAGCTCGCGGGGATCGCGTCCCGGTTGCGCTGCAGCGTCCTTAGGTGCTGCCGGCCTCGGTCCCCTTGAGCCGAGTGGCGACCGCGACAGCCGCCGAGCTAGCCCCGGCACCCGCCGCTCGCAGGGAGCCTCCAGCGTGTGCTGCTGGGGAAGTCCAGAGGCCGGTGGAGGCTGGGGAGCCAGCAACTGACAGTTCGGACGAAGATTTCCCTCCTCCTCCTCCTCTCCCTCTTCCCATCTGTCCGGCCAAAAATGTGACGGGATTGCACCCATCTTCCCGGCGAGCCTCCCTAAGTGCAGTGACATGTGCGACGCCGGCGTGTGTAGGTGCGCATGCAATGTTTGCAGTGGAAATAAAAGCCTTTCACAGAATAATGGTTCGAACCTCCAAAACCAGGTCTCAAGACAATTTGCAAAAGTAGAGACCCCTTTATCCCCCTAAAATCTGCTTTTCAGCCGCCTGTCAGCTGACACTGGTCCTCGCCTCCATAAAGAATGAATGAAATTTAAATGAACTACCTGCAGCTACTAAACAATCCAGCATTTTCCCTGTATCTGCCATATGCTCTGCACTTCCAAGTCCAAACATATCTCAATGCATCCAGCAATTACGCTGCGGATCCCTCGCCGACACCCGTGGCATCAAGCCAGGCACCTGGTAGGGTCCCCGGGGCTGGAGGGCACCGCTCTGTCCCTGGCTGGAACGTGCTGCTTTCTTTTTCCCCCTAAATAAAAATGTATCCCCATGCAACTTGCAAAATGAGCCGCAGGGCGTGCTTCCCAACGTCCGGATACATTTCCCGCAAAGACTCTTCCATTCATCAGTCTCTGGAGCTGCTTCTGCTGCCGAGACAGGGGCTTCAGGTCCTCGCAGGGTCTGACAGCCCCTCAGATGATCCCGGAACGAATTCCCACCTGCTCCCAGGAGCCTGGCGCCCCGCGCGCCCCCGCGTGCCCCCGCCCTCGGCAGCCCGCCGGGCTCCCCGTTACCTGTGCCGGGGTCTTCGGGCCATGGCGCGGCGGGCGCGGGGCTCCGCCGAGAGCCGCGGGGACCGCACCGGGCTGCCGCCTCCCGCTGCCCGCCGCCTGCCTGCGTCCCTCCCCGGCTGCGCAGCGGCGCTCCGCACCGCCGGGGCGAAGTTTCTCAGGAGAAAGAGGAGGAGGAGGTCACGGAGGAGGAGGAGAAGGAGGAGGAGGAAACAGGTTGATATTAAAGTGTAAACTCTGTAAACAGAGATGCCATCAAACAAAGAGCTTTGGACACTCCCCCTCCCGCCAAATCTGGCGCCCCTGCAGTGCGCACGCGCCCTGCCCGCCGCCTCCGCGGTCGCCCAGGCTGCCGCCCGCTGGGCTGCCGGGCCGGCAGAGCGGCAGCTCCCATTCGGCGCTCGCGCCGCCGAGGTGCGCCTAGCGCGCCGCGAGGCCCGGGAGGCGCGCGGGCGGGGAGCCTGGGGCCGAGGAGGGGCGGCCGGGGGCCGCGGCGGCGCCTTTTCCTGCGCAAACCCCGCTCCCGGCCGCGGCGGGGCCGACCCGCGCCAAGTCCCGCCGCCTCCCCTCCTCCCCGGCCGCCGCACCGCGGTCGCCCGGCTCCGCGTGCTCCAGGGCAGCGGGACCCGAGCTCCTCCAGCTCCCACTCACGGTCGCGGGGGCGGCAAGCGGTGGGGGGAAATTCCTGCACAGAAGATTGGATTTTCGTCAAGGTTTACAACTGTGCCCTCTGGAGACGGGGAAATTAGGAGTTGGAGGAGTAGGGGATGGGAGCATATGTGTTCATAGGATGTTTGGCTAGAGTTTTTTTCCTTCTTCTTAAATAAATAACATCTATAATTTAACTTGTTAGTGACAAAGAACGCTTCAATACAAGTGGGCGGCAGCTATCACTGCTCTCTAATGGAGCGCCCCGGCGGAGCTTTCACTCCCCTCCCGGATCCTACAGCCGCCACCGTCGTATTGTCACATGTCCTTCACTCTCACCCCAGCCCACACCCGGGCCCCCCCCCCCCCCCCCCCCCCCGGCCCCGGGGGGGCCCCCCCCCACCCCCCCCCCCCCCCCCCCCCCCACCGCCCGCCCCCGGGTTGTCACACCGCAAAAAAAAAAAAAAAAAAAAAAAATACTCGGGGGTCCAGACAGCCCGCCCCTAGCAGAACTCAGGAAACCCTACGTTTGCATGCGTGGTTTTAGAAGTAAAACAGTTTGTGATTTTGGGGGTCGGTATCCCTACTTAGTGTCATTTGAGCGCTCTATTTTACGAGATAAAATCAGCAAAGGCTTTCGTGTTGTTTAATGAGGGTCTCCAGAAGTAAAGGAAGAAGATAAGTGCTGAATTTATAAGGATTGATGATTGGGGGGATTTTAGGGGAGTTTTAGTTTTACTTCCGTTTATAGATTAGAACCATTGGGGATTTTTTTTTTTTTCATTCTCTGTACACACTAATGTATTTTTCCTTTAATCTTTTAGGAGTTTGAGACTTCTGCTGACTGGGTTTGTGGGTGTCCCATGTGCCCCAGCAGTTCAAACTTAGCTCAGAAAGCATTTTTTCTTACTAAAAAAGCATGTTCTTACTAAAATGAGTCATGATTTTATTAAACGGTGAAGCATGCGAGGTTTCAAGACTATCTGGTGTTTTAGACTTTCTTTAAAATTGTTATATAGTTTAAATCTTTATCAAGTGTTAGTTGCTAGTAAGGTTTTAACATTCCTTTCCTCCTGAGAATAAAATAACACTGAAAAAAAATTATTGTGAGGTATTTCGGATCACAATTACAAAGGACAAGTCAAATTAATACTTTTAAAGCCAATATTTATTTCTAGATTCTATAATAATTTTCTTTCTTCACATCAAAAATAAACAAAATCTTTTAAAAATATCTAGAGTAAACATCTAGAAACCACCCCTAAAGGAATTGCATTCTGGCTTTGGGATTGCTTTATGAATCTAACCGGCAAGGTTCCCAATTGCTGAGTCTCTTGGACACAATGTGAGTATCTGAACCCTTTGTGAAGTGAGTTCATAGCCTCTTTTCCAAGATTTTAGGAGGTGGAACTACTCCTAAGTTCTTGAACCCCTTTAAAGTAGAAAGATACTAAGTTCAGTTTTCCTTTTTTTTCTTTGTAAATCATTTTCCTGTATATCGTTTTGAGAATTTATAATTTTTCATTTCCCAGATATTTTGGGATATAGTTTTACATTTTTCCCTCAGTTGTATGACAATAATATGTTTGGGAATATGCATAGTCCAGTAAAGAATACACATGCAGTAATTTTATTAGGCTAATGTTGGATATATTGCTATCTGATAAGCTTATGGAAAAACAGAATCAAATGGAGTTATCAAAATTCTTGTATGGATGAAACTACATTTTTAAACTCATTACAGAATGTTTGTATTTATACATTTTCTCTCTCCACTTATAATTATTACAAAAGTATTTTAGATGACAACTTTACACATTTCATAACTTTTTTTTTTTTTAAGATCTGCTAACTACATCAGTTATTTTAGCTGTGGCAGGGCTGCACTGGAGCTAAATTTGGGTACAGCCTTTCATTTGCAGTGCACTACAAAGGGGTCAGGAAACTCTTCTGTAAGAGACCAGATAGTAAATGCTTTGTAGGCTATGTTGCATATTCTTCTCTGTCTTTTCTTGTCTGTCTTTCTTTTTGTCTTTTTTTACAACCCTTTAAAAATGTAAAAACTGTTTTTAGCTCAAAGACTGTATTGAGTCTGCAGGCCAACACTAGAGTAGTTAGCCAACGCTAGAACAGTGATCCTCAATGTTTAGAGCCCCGGTGTCCAATCTTTTGGCTTCCCTGGGCCACATTGGAAGAAGAAGAATTGTCTTGGACCACACATAAAATACACTAACACTAATGATAGCTGATGAGCTTAAAGAAATATCGCAAAAAAATCTCATAATGTTTTAAGAAAGTTTACAAATTTGTGTCAGGCCGCATTCAAAGCCGTCCTTGGCCATATGCGGCCTGTGGGTCACAGGTTGGACAAACTTGCTTTTGAGTGTATCAGAATTGCTGGGTGTATCCATGAAAGATGCACAGTCCCAGGCTGTCCCCTGGAGACCATGATTCAGCAGGTTTGAGATGAGGCCCAACAATCTCCATCTTTAACAATGGTTTCCATGGAAGGCCTCCAGAGCACTGGTTGATAATCTCAGTTTCGGAGTGAAGACAGACTGGTTTGATACACTTTTACCTTTTTAAAAAATAAAATATATATATATATTTTTGAAACAGGGTCTCCCTCTATTGCTCAGGCCGGAGTCCAGTGGCACCATCACAGTTCATTGTAGCCTTGACCTCTCAGGCTTAAGTGATTTTCCCCTCTCGGCCTCCCAAGTAGCTAGAACTACAGGCATGCAGCTCTATGCCCAGTTAATTTTTAAAAATTTTGTTGAGATGAAGTCTCACCATATTGCCCAAGCTGGTCTCAAACTCCTAGGTTCAAGCGCTTGATCCTCCTGCCTCAGCCTCCCAAAGTGCTGGGATTACAGGTGTGAGTCACCGCACCCAGCCCACTTTTACCTTTGCCATTTGTCTCTCACCACCTTCCTCTCCCTCATTCACTTTCACCTCTTCTGGGCTAAAGATTCAGGCTCGCCATAACCCAAAATAATTTAAGCACTGGGGAAGGGCTGAAGGACAAAATATGTATAAAAGATACAAATTCCAGTTTCTTTGCTTCTGATTGCTGGGAAATCCTGGGCACATGGTGGATCTTTAATCCTCGTGATCCGCATCCCAAAGATGAATGAGGCTCATCAATGGTGAAAACAGACCAGATTAGGGGACTCCATGTCTCTACCACCCACCTTTCCTCACCCACTCAACCCAGTTTGGCTCAGGGCATTAAGAGGGAAATAGTTACAGTAAATGGTTAAAATGCAGACCGTTCTTAATTATTTCAGTTAATGAAGAACAGCTGTGGCATGTATAATTGAAAGCCATAGGTTTGAGATAAATCTCATGTTGGCTCCCCCAGCAAATCTTTTAGTAATGACAATGGGCTAAGTGCTACTTCAGTGTAGTATGTTTCATAGAACCTCCATAACAGTGTAGTATGTTACATAGAACCTCCCTAACAGTATAGCGTGTTTCGTAGAACCTCCATAACAGTATAGCGTGTTTCGTAGAACCTCCATAACAGATAGTGACCAAATAAGTTTTTATTTTTCAATGATTCCTGGATTTGGCACTACTTGTTTGTTTCCTTTTTCCAGATTCTCATCAACTTATATATTCCTATGACGACCAACCCACATATTTTTATTGTCGTTTGAGCTGTCTTGTATAAAAGGTATGAGTCTTTCCATAAAGAGGGAAGGACATTCCAGAGAAAGGCAAAAGTGGGAGCAAAAGCACACAATCAGAATCCACAAGGCATGTTCCCAGCATGGGAAAGAAGGAGCTAGCCAGATTGCCTGAAGCAAGGAGAGCTTTGAAGGCCAGATTCGTGTATGTGCGTTGAATAGCAAAACTATACTATCAGAGCTGTGTGTGTGGAAGATTGATCTAATAGTATTGTCAGATAGATTGGAGTGAGAAGAGACAAGGGGAAGAGGCTTGTTAATTGTCTGGGGTAGGACAGTAACCCTAAATGGAATGAAAAGGAGGAGGCAGATCAGAAGAACATAGGCAGAGCCTTCAAGACTTAGCAGTTTGATTGAGTCGCTAAGGATATTAGAGGCACCATTAATAGAAATAGGGAAGTCAAGAGGGGAAGAGAAGTATGCACTGGGAGATTCAAAGAGGAAAGTGTGTTTAGATTTCGGTATGTTAAGTTTGTGGTTTCTTATGGAAGACATCCGGGTAGAATTGTTCAGCAGGCGGTAGAGAGTGTGGATCAGAGCCTGCTGGAGAAGTCAAGCTGGGTCAGGAATACGCGGGAGTTAAATTTTATGAGCTAGTTTTTAGACACAGCCATTATTAAAAAGTAAATTATATAAACTTACAGTTAAATATATTTTATTTTGAAGACAATAAACATTCAAAACTCATCACTTCCCATTTTATGACATTTTCCTATTATCTACGTACTTGAGGTTATTTATGTCTATCATGCGTACAGTGGACATACAATGTAATATGTGCTGTTGTGCATCTCTTTACAATTTCGCATCTAGTGATATAATGTTAGTAGCTTGAAATTGGCTCTAATTGGAGTATTTACACCACAGGAAATGGCAAGTGTTACAAATAAGGGCTTTTTCTTATTGGAAAACTGATTGTTAAACATTTACCAGTAACACATCAAATAAATGCTTTATTTAAGAGTTTATTTACATGAAGGCAACAACTGTGCTGTTTCTTAGAGTTGCTTATGTAGAGATCTGACCAAGGGAAAGTCTTTGGATAATATTTAAGAGGTTAAAAGACAGGGCTAAGACTGAGAGGTAGAGGCTAGGTGGAGAGATTTGTTGGGGAATAAAGAAAGATATGTGTGTGTGTGTATATATATATAAATGTTTATATATATACACAAATGTTATATATATAAAAATGTTTATATATATATACACAAATGTTA